ACAGGGGGATCGGAACGATCAGGGCGTGTAGCACGTCATGTTAATTTTGTTAGAACAGATGTTAAAATTTAATACATATACAACCAAATGTGTACACAGTGAAAAGACAATACAAAACTATGACACATTCATATATTTTCCCTTTATTTAAGTATCAATTACTGGACCAGAATTCATGTCTAGAGTGGGTGCAGTGTCAGTGGTGGCAAGGACTCTCAGAAGACCATATCTGGGGTGCTGAGTATTGGCACATGTCCCTATTCATTGTGACATGCACAAATAGGTCTTTCCATGCTCATAGTCACCTGGAAGAAGTTTTACCCCCTTTAACCTTGCAAGTCTGATTTTATGTCCCCAAAACCTCTGTTTTTCCTTTTCCCCACCAATAGATTTGGCTTTTATACCACTTTCCCTTTATTTACTTTTTGCATTTCCACAATGCATGCTGTCAGTCCTGTTCCAGCTGCACCCTGTTCCCTAAAAAAATAATCTTCCCCAATAAAGATGTGGTATTCTTCCTCACCTCGTGACTCAGGGTATTCCTAAGTGGTGAGAAAACATGAAGTGCCCAAGTAGATGCCCTTCCAGTGGACAAAATGTAATGCAGTGCTGTGCAGAGTGTCCATCCCATTGTGAAAATGTCTGAAGTTGTCGTAATGGATGGCAAGGGGGCAAGGTGACATATTCTCAGGGGGCTCAGGATGTCTAGTAACTCCCCTGGCTCTATGGGTGCCTTTCTGGTAGAAAAAAAGTCTTAGGGAGCTCGTCCAAGTCAGAACACACAATCACGTGGCCTTGTAAAGGGAAGAAAATATTTTTGAAGGGTGCCCTTCCAGTAAAGAAAATGAAATGTGATGCCCTATAATGGAATGCAGTTTCCCATACATGCAAGAGAAGCAGATGAAATAATGTACCTTCTAGGTGTTCCTAAGTGTAAGAAAATTTGGTATCTAGGTTGCCTCTGTAGTTGACATTAGTCAGTGTGTCACAGCTGAATTTGTTTAACCACTTATGAGCTGGTAAATCACACATATTTCAATGTAATGTAAATCTTAGGTAAAAGCCCCTCAATGAGCCAATGTCTGTAACCTTAAGAGGGTCACAGCCGCTCTATGGGGTCTTCCGCTGGACCTTCCGGCTGTGGACACTGCCGCCGCTTCTGCTGCTGCCGCTGGTGCCGCTCCCGGGCCGGGAATCCCGTGGGGATGGTGTGACAAGGGGTGCGGACGTCACCGAGAGACCCATGCCCAGGTCCACGGTCCTCGTGGTGGGAGGCGGAGCCGCTTGCACTGAGGAGGAGCCGCTGCTGCTTGAAGACCCCCCCGACCAGCTGTGCACAAAGCGCACAAGTACTCAATGATGCAGATGCGGCTCACATGACGGAGCGTGCAGTCACATGTTTTGGAGGAGGGGGGGGGCTTACCGGAGTGAGGAAGCTGAGCTGCGGCCAGAGGAAGGCTTTGAGCTGGTCCCACTCACTAGGGTGGGGGCAGGAGAGGGCGGGGGCAGACTGGCCTACAAATAAAAGCACAGGCATTTTCCATTCACCCAGTTCTGGATTTTTGTTTGAAAAATTCTGCTGCATTAGGGATGCCATCTGATGTAAAGGTACCACTACAGTCATCAGGAACAACTAAGCATATCATTAAATTATCTTTGTGTTGTTCTGTGTTTTCTATTTATGCGCTTAGTAAAGTGCCTTAAACTCATCATGTCTTTTAACAACTGCAGTGTCCTGACAACATTTGAAATTTCTATTTTAATATTTTAATCATCAATTTGACAATTCTAGTGTTGTCGTGCTCGAGACCGCTCTTGGCCTTGAAACCACTTTTTTGCGTTGTTGGTCTCGTCTCGGAATCGACTCGGTCTTGTTTCGGTCTCAGAGGACTCAAAGTTTTATTTCAAGAACTGTCATGACCACTCATCAAAACGACTCAGTATTTATCACAATGGCTTAACATTCATCTGTTATCCCAGAGAAGCTGACAAACGCAAAATGTGTGGATTTTTGCATGCATCCATCTCAGGCTCGTAACTTTGGTGAGGTATAATGCACAGACATGAATCACATATCTTTGCAATCGTGAGAACTTACTAAATCTGCTCATCCAAGTTGCAGCATTGTGTGCTAAAATATTCCAGAGTGATCTTGTGCATAATGAGGCATACATTTTAAACATTTTTCACGAAAAAGCACACCTAATAATCCACACATTAGACAGAAAACAAAGTGCATATTCCCTTCGGCAATGATCCACACGCTACCCTTCTGGAGAAAAATATTGTTAACACTTTACTTAAAGCAGTCATTTTATTGAATTATACATACCATCATAATGCATAATAGTGCATTTATAAAGTATTATAAACGTGGCTATAACTATTCAGAAAAAGGCATAACACATTATACTTGTGTGTTATGCATTATGTTTGCTCTTTGAAGGCACTATAAATACCTTCATAATGCAGCATAAAGCATCCTTAATTGTTATACTAACTGTTATTATGCATTCATAGAGCATTCATAATGCATGAGAAACATGGCTATAATGCGTTATGCCTTTTTATAAATATTTATAGCCGTCTCATGTTATGAATGCTATAATTTGTTATGAATGTTACAATGAATTATAAGAATAGTTATTAGGCTTTATGAATATGGGCTTCGTGGAAAGTGTTATCAAAATATTTATTTTTATGTACAGAGGATTTTGTGGTTCAGTGGGCATCATACCTGCTGAAAGTACATATCAATGGCATCTCTCAGGTCTGGATGTTCCTGCATCGCTTCCAGCAGCATTTTATTCACTGTCCTGTTGAAGTCCCTCAGCTCCCGGAGATCGATGTCTCGCTCTTCCAAGGATTCCTCCTTGGTCTTCCTGGCAGCCCGAATCTCCCTGGTCAGCTTTGAGCACTGTGATGGAGGGAGAATTTAACTGGAAATTTTTAAATTGAATTTTACAAGAAAACCTCTTATAATGGACTAAAAAAACATCCTTTCAAAAACCATTCTGTCCCTGGAGAGATTATGCACCCTGCCCTTACTAACAGGAAAGCGCATCAATATTTACTTAAGAACAAGAACACTTTATGAACTGAGCAAACTGAAGAATTAAGTCTTAATCCTTGTTGCGGTATGTGGATAACTATTCTTTGCCCGTAATCGGAAGGTCGTTGGTTCAAATTCCAGGACTGGCAGAGGATCACACCACTGCAAGACCCTTGCAGTTGCTCCCATGGGGGGGGGGGGGTCAAATAAATGACTAACCCTGAGCTCTGAGCCCAATATTCACTTTCACCAGTGTCTGTGTGTCTCATAGGAGCGTAAGATGGGATTTACTAAAAAAACATCCAGTGTACCAGTACCTATACAAATGGCAAAACAAATATCTCCATTTGAGGTTGCCAAGGATATTACATGTTTGTTATGCTGAAAACCTGTGCTGTTGGTCTTATGTGCCAGTACACTGTGATGTAGTCCTTCCTCATTTTTTGATTTGAATTTAGATGTAGGTCAATAAAGGATTCTTGTTGACAGGGGTGACCATGTTCCTGTTGAATGAGTCATCTGTAGGAAGAATCTTACCTAAGATTTTGTAATCAGTTACATAATAATATCACAGTAGTCAGGGGTGTTGCTATACATTTTGGGTCCTCGACCAAGGCAATAATGTTTGAAAATTATTAGGGCTCCTGTCAGTCAGGGACCCTTGCAATTGTCCTAACTTTCCCCCCTTTGTGACACCCCTGATGGCATTGTGGAATTGTTGAATTGAATTGATCAGTATGGTGACTAATAACTGCACATGTAGTGCCTGTTTCGCAAATCACAGTGCTATTGTGCAACAGTTAGTTCTGACCAAGAAATCTGATTGGACAAGAGGCATTCTATGAGTGTGGTTGTCGGAGTAGCGCACTCAGATATTTCACATCAGCTGTATCACTCCGCTTTACAGGTGTATCTAAAACACACATACGCCTCATTTCCACCAACATGGAACTGGTGGTGGGCTGGTTCTTGTTTGGTGCAGAACTTGCCAGTGTTTCCACCTGTTTCAAATAAGAACACATGCAGAAGTGAGAGTAAACTATATCGGTTACGGACTGAATTTTCCGGGTATGCAGAAGGTTTGGATGCGATGACCCATCTCACTTTCGCTGACTTTTTTTTTTTTTTAAATAAGTAAACAGAATGTGCTGTACCTTGTTAGTGTTAACCTTCTACATGCTACTTGATGAATTGCTGTAGAAAATCCTGCAGCCTCGTGCCTACGACCGAATCACAGCCGTGACATATTGGAGTACAACCGAACTCCTTCTCATATGTTATTGTTTACTTATAATCTTTAATTCCAACTCGCGTTATTTAAAATTTGCACAATTTAAAATGAACAGAAACTACACACGTCAATGGCGGAGGAAATTAATTCTATTAATACATGCGTTTTCAGCTAGTAAATGTGAAAATAATGTTTTTAAGTTACAAACATGGAAAACAAAAGTGTGGTAGCTGTGGTATAAGTGGATTAATACACCCCAGGCCATGGATTATACCTTTTTAAATGCACCCCCCTTTGCATTGGGCAGTACTTCACCTCCGCAGCCATGCACTTAAAAACATATAATGAACAGCTTGTCATGCATTAACCCTTACTTACTACATATACTTTGTACAAGGTGGGATATAGACCCCAATCTGGAATGTCTGGTGATATGGATTATCCAAATTGATTTCATCCTCTTGTCCCATGCTCTCACAACCCTACCTTAAAATGTACCTCAGCCCCCCCCCCCCAAATAAACGTACAATAATTAGCTTAATGGGCTGTTTCCTTCAGCCCCCCTAGAAAAGGCTTAGCTCCCCTCTTCATAAACGTCTACTGACACTGTCAGATCTAATTTCACTGTCAGCACCCATTCCACTCCATCTCGTCAAAAGAGCTGTTTAGAACAGGGGCAGGTGGCCCTGATCCTGGAGTGTCGGTACCCAGAAGGTTATCCATCCTACCTGGTCTGTGAAGAACCTCACGTGATCTCAGGCAGATAGTAACTCATCAGGTAGGATGGAAAATCTCCTGGATACCCGCACTCCACAATCAGGGCCGCCTACCTTTGCTCAAGGTTTTTGGTCATTTGTTTTCTTAGCCAAACCCTTAGCCAAAACCTATCCCTGCTCAGCCCATGCCTATATGAAATGGAGAGTGTGAAGGCCCAAGGAGCAGAACGTGGCATCGTTACTGGCACACCTGCTTCCCCACTCTATCCAGCTTCTCCTCCTGCAAGCCCAGCTCTTTATTCAGTATCTGGAGCTGAGAACGTGTCTCTTCTGTCCTTTCACTTTGTGCAGCTTCATCACGATTCAGGATTTCAAGGGTATTATTCATGTTCTGCAGGTGACAACAAAATGCATTACTGTTCCATAATCACAGCGACAGCAGATTCAATGCATTGCTGGTGAGCTTTGTCTATCAGTGTTTTATGGAAGCCACTGGCTGCCAGTATTCACATCATTTTATAACTATTCAAGGGTCCCTGTCGAGTGCTGGGCCCCCTTGAATCTGCCAGCATATCCATGCCCCTCCAATGCCCCTGATTTCAGCAAAACATGAACAACATTCCACCGCTAAATGATGAGGCTTCAAAAAAATGATCTTCTGTGGGTTTCAGTCAAACACAACAATTAAAAATGTATCTTTTACACATGACTCTTAGGAAAGCACCACTGTGCGCAATTTACATAGAAGGCTAGAGGTTGCGTGTGGCTCAGGGGGTTAGGACCCCGTGCTTGTGAGCCTCCAGTTCAAATCCCGCCGCTAGCAGAGTAATTTCACCACTGGGCTCCTAAGAAAGGCCTTCAGCCCCTATTGCTCCTGCTAAACTGAATGTCACTTTGCATAAAAGCAGCTGCTTAAAAACTGAATTTCAACCATATCCTCCTGGCAGCGTCTCACACCAAGACCCCCCCCATGGGCACCACTTTAACTTTGCCGTTATATGGCGTTAGTTCTCTCTGAGTAACAGGTACAGACCCCCCCCACAGTATAATGGTCAATGAATAGATAGAATAAAAGCATGTAGGACATTTCATAATGGGCGGTTTCATAAAAAATATTTTCATGTTTACTTCCTTGTATGACTGAAACATACTTCCTGTCATTTCCTGTAGTTTATTTAAGGAATCTCTGACAGGTTCTGGGATACTTCTGTTCTTTGATTATTCATTTCAAAGAACCACATTTTATCCTATTTTTACTTCATTCCTGCTTCCTTCCAGGACATGGCTTGTAACTGCTCACAGCTACAGTGAAATTTGCAGTGTCCTTGGGCAGGAAAACGCCAACACTGCAACAGGAACATTACTAACCTAGGAAATGAACACAATCAATTACAATATTCAAGTACTTGTATTTAATTATTTTATATTTCTATTTAATATTTTTATCTTGTGTAAAGTTATGATGATATATCATCATTTAAAAAATTCAACTGTACTAAAGCTAATGTGTATTGCTCTAACAGTGGCAGTGGATTCTGGGAAAATGGAAACTAGATAACACTGCACAACCAACATACCTGAATGTCATCCTGTAGCTCTTTCATTTGCCTTCTTTTATATTTATACCTTTCCTCTGCAGCTCTCTTTTGCTCCTCTAGTCTGAGCTTCTCCTGATATTCCTCACCTAAAACACAAAACGTGTTATGCAGAATGAACACCATAAAAGGTTAAGCGGTTTGCAGAAGAAGGTACATCTGAAATACAGCTTGTGGATGAACATCCTGAAATAGTCCTACTTGACTCCTCTACTTTGTGGAGTGATTTCCGGTAAGTGGTATTGCGGCTGTTGACCACGTGCAGGGTGTTCTCCAGAGCCTGGATCTCCTTCTCTGCCTTGCCGATTTTAGCATCCAGATCGTCCCCCTTGCGCTGGAGCTCTTCCTTCTCTTGTGCAGCCTGAAGAAATGAAATGATGATACTTAGCTGATCCCCATGGGGATTTTTTCACCTACCCCATCTCGCTCTCCGTGACACACAGACACATATGTAGGTGACAGTAAGCTTGGCGGTGAAGGGCAGCCACCCATAGGGACGCCCATGGAGCTGGGGGTTAAGGGCCCACAGATGTGATGATTCTGCTGAAGCTGTGCATGAACCAGCAACCTTCCGATCACAGGAGCAGAGGCTTAGCCAGGATTTTTAAAAAAATCAAACATGCAAACAAACACAAGATGTTTGGCTGCTTTACAGCTTAATAAGCACTCACCTTGATGATGTAGTAAGCCTGAGATCTCTCCTCCTCACCATCAGGGGGAGCCATAGATACAGTCAGTATCTCATACCTCTTTTTCATCTTGTCAGTCTTGGAGAGCCTTTCATGGACTTCGGCACTGACATGAGAGACCAGCACAGACATAAACCTGCCACATTCTGCTCTAAAAAATATCCTTATACTAAATTAGGCATAAATACTGATCTGGGGAGGAACAATGGCTCAGTGGTCGGCTCAATTAATTAATGTAATAATTTTGATATGGCTACATTTCAAACAACATACACTACATTTCATAGTTAGCATGTGCTGGACAAATGGGAGATAAATGGGATGGATGGATGGATGGATGGATGGAATTGCAATGGGTAGGGATGAGAGATTTGGGCTCCCAAAACTGAATGCAGAAGGGAATATGTAAAGTGAAACGTTTGTACAATGAAGGGGTCCTGATGATTTTCCAACAGCAGGCTAATACTTTTAAACTTCCCCAGAAACACTTTTTTAAATATCTACAAATCAGAAGCTCTGCACACTCCCGCATTAAAACGTATTCTACTATCCACCATTGAATGACTTTCTCTGGAGCATTTACACAACAAGGGAGGTATATCCTGGTTTTATGATACACACAGAACAGCCTCAAAAGAGAATTCGGTAAGAGTTTATTTAAAGCAGTCATCTTGGATAATAGTGCATTCATAAAGTATTATAAACAGAGCTATAACTTTTTAAAAGTCATAAGAAATCATAGGCGTGTTTATTATGCATTATGAATGCTTTATGATCTCATCTATAATGCAGTATAAATACCTTCATAATCCATTATAAGTGTCAGTGTAAGCATTATGCATTAACAAGGTATTTATAGTCTAACCAGCAGCGTTAAATAGCAGAGCAATAAGCTTGTTCAGGAATATCCTGAACAGGCAGTAAGTTGTGAGGGGCCTTACACTCTTACTGCAAAAATATAAATTTCTCCCCCCTTTTTGTTATGTAGTCATTACTTTTCATTGAATTGTCTACCTTTTGAGTAGGGTCAACTGTAATAATAGATGTATTGATGATGGACATTTTACATTTTCATTTCGGGTTTATCAGGGAAGGGGAAGAGTTGGGGTGTGTGTGTGTTTGTTTTGAATGTTTGAAAAATATTTATGAAAAACAGTATAATGGCTGTCATTTTATGATGTATTCAGGAAAAGATTGTATCCATTTCAAATTTGAACTTTGGCAGAACCAGCAATAATGATTCAGGAATCTGGGTATTAACTCATTAGGGCAAAGTCCAGGATCTGAGCGGCTGAGCTAATCACCTGAGCGCCTGCTGCTCCTGCTCGGCCAATCTGACCCGCTTGCAGATCATCTCACGGTGAAGCTTAAGCTCCTCCTCCCGCTCGCTCATGACCGCCTGCAGCCACAGCCTCTGCTTCTCCAGGGAGAGGACGCTGTCGGCCTTATCGTACAGCAGGTCCCGCAGGCGTTTCGTCTCCAGCTTCAGGATGTTGTCCTCCACCATAGCGTCCTGTGGTGTGATCACCAGTCACCAAACCAGTCTGCACTCCCAGAGACGCTATGAGATAAATTCTACCGTTTCTAAGACTAGTCTCTTCACCTGCTTTTTCTGATTGAGCTTCTTCAGTTCTTTGTCTGAGGTATCATTGAAAAGGTCTAGCTCCTCGATCTTAGTGGTCAGGTCTGATTTCTCCACTCCTGTCTTCTCCATCTCCTTTTGCACGCACCGAATGTTGTCCTGAAAATAGGAACTTTTGCTTGGCAAATGTTGAAGAAGGTACAAGGATGAAATGCCAGTCTATCACAGGGCAAACATACTCACAAACAACTACTGTTTTTATTATTTTGCTTAGCTAAAATGTGTATCTTTTATTTAACTTATTTCTATAGCTGAGCAATTCAGATTGAATACAGTTTTTGGGTATAACAACCTGTCAAAAGAGTCTTCAGGTTTCTATACTAAACTCATATCTTGCTCTGAAGGCTGAAAAGTGCCAGTCAACAGGTACTGGAGACCCGTCCCTCAGATAGACAGGTGTACCTGCAGTCTTCTCAGCTGTAGCATCAGCATGCTGGACGTTTTCCTCTTCTCCTCCAAAGCTTCAGACAGTTCAGACACCTTGGCCTCCAGCAGCCGCTTCTCCTCCCCTGTCACCTCCCCCTTCAGGCGAGAAATCTTCCTCTCTAGCTGCTGGATCCGGAAGTCCTGGTTCCACAGAGTGTATCAGTCAGTATAACTATTCATTTACTCCAAAGAAATGTGAGCACATCCACATGCGTGTCACAGTTTGTTTTTCATTTCACAATTTCCCACACAGCCTTCAGTAGCTACTTCATTAGGTACACCTAGGTAGTAGTGTGTAGGTAGTGGTTGAGTTGTTGCAGTATTTTGGACTGGAGTTTGCCAGTTGAGTACCTCAATATAGTTTGTAGATTTAACATTTACCAATTACCACTGGCATTCAGCACTTGTCTCTGCATGGTACTGCTTATAAGCTGTACAGCCGGGACCATCCCTGACGATTTTGTTCTTCGATTTCTCCAGTGCCTTCGACGCGGTTCAGCCAGCCCGGTTAGGGAGGAAGCTCTCTGTTATGCAGGTTCATGCTCCCATAGTCTCTTGGGTTATTGACTGTCTGATCGACAGGCCGCAGTATGAGAGGCTGCAGGGCTGTGTGAGCAATATGTTTATTATCTGTGATTCTGTGATATCTGGGCAATACAATTAAGATGTGCAATATTATTATCCAGGATTCGGTGCAATATACCTCTATTTTTTCCCCACAGTTTAAAGTCTAACTTGATTTTACCAACATGTGCAATATAACTACTTATGATTACTTCATTCCTATTTTTATACTTATACTGTATTGTTCTTGTCTTGGTGTCTATATGTGATTGTGCAGTTGGAATGTGAGCAATAAATATGGAATGTGAGGATTAATAAAGTCTGCTGATTCTGATTCAGCTTGTAAGGGTATCGCCACTGAGAATTCACAAATAAAGTCTTCCCATCATTGCATTATTACATAAATTCTGTCATAGCTATCTCCCACATAATTCCACAAATGTATTTGTGTGGGATGCTTGCAAGGATGATGGACAGCTGATGCAGAGATTTCCTAAATCAATCAACAGCAATCACATGCACTGTGTTTTACAGGTTTGACTCTGGTCTCTCACCTGGTTGTAAATAATTTTCTGTTGCTTGAGGGATTTCTGGTCCATCTTGTTCAACCGGCTGTTGAGGTTGGACAGTGACGCTCTGCATCCTGTAATCTCCGCTTTTCTTTCCATCTCTTGGGCTTTCAGGGCCTCCAGCTCCTGGGTCTTCTTGAACAGCGCCTCCCGGTGGTGGAGCAGCAGGGAATCCGTTTCCTACACGATAGACCATCTGGGTCAGGCTCCATTTGGAGTAGGAAACCATGTCACAGAAGATTTATCATGTTTCAGTTGTGCTACACCTATAGAACAGCTGTCACACAACATTTGAGAAGCCATGTTTAATGTCAAACATTTTTAAAAGGTATAACCTGAAATTGTATGAATCCATCTTTTATTATATACATTATTAATATTGTACTACCAGTAAACTGCTTTCTGCCTCTCCCTCCTACTTATGCTGCCATAGCCATATCTGCCGGAGCATTGCACTTCATATTGCACTCATCTAACTTTTAGCACTGCCTGTAGTCTCCCTTACTTTGACTAATTGCATTTATTTCCACCACCTTCTCCTGGGGGGTGCTGCCTGGAGCCCTCAATCTATCAAGATGTCCAGCACACCCTGCAACATGTGACGTCGCCACTACCAATGACGACCGTGCATCCAGCTTGCCGTTCTGCCTGTGTCATCTTCCATGTATGAAACGCTCCCTGCCTTCTGGCTGCCTGGCGATTGGAGGGAGCGGTGGCACCGGCTTGTCATCTCCCCCCTGCTCCCCATTTGTGTTTCAGATTTAACTGTATTTGACTCTCCCTGCCGGCCCCTGGAGGATGGGCTCCCCCTTTGAGTCTGGTCCCTCCCAAGGTTTCTTCCTTCTAGGGAGTTTTTCCTTGCCACTGTCGCCTATGGCTTACTCACTGGGGGCTTTGGGTGGGGATGCTGTAAAGCGCTTTGGGACAATGTAATGTTGTGATAATGTGCTATACAAAAATAAATTTGTTGTTGTTGTTGTTGAGTCAACAGAGGAATCAGAGGAAACATCTCAAGGAAAAAGAAAGGTTGATTATTTATTTATATATTTATAGGCCTCCGCACTATGCCAAGCAACACAAACATTTTGTTAAGTTAAGGTTTTTAGATGCACCTGTAAAGCGGAGTGAAACACTCTATTGTGAAATGTCTGAGTGCGGTTATACTCTGATACCAGTGCTCATGGAAGACCACTTGTAATCAGATTTCTTGGTTGGAACTACAGTAATTGTTGTATAATTAAAAAATAAGAATTCCTCATGATGTGATCATTTTTCCATTTTATGTTAAATATTTCAACACATATTTGGGTTTATGTTCTTCATTTCACATGTATGATAATAGGACATGTTAATAGACATGTTAAGGTGATTTACTTTCAGAATTAATGAAATGAAATTTTAAAAATGTATCCAATCCCTATTCCAGACGGAGAATGAACCATATGTATCCTCACACTGCGCAACTGAAATGCGTAACATCCAGTGCGAGTCAGGTCTACAGTGCACTCCCAGAAGTAATAGATACAGGCTCTACCCTTCTTACTGAACAATAACAAGTTTATAAAGAGCACTTCTATAAGCAGCTCCTGAAGACCTTGAGGGTGTGTTTGTTTTGTGACACTTATTTGCATGATGAGTCACCTTACTTTCATGCAGCAGTTAAACTAATCCTCTAAATCTGCAGTACACTAGTCCTTAAGATCCAGTGTGGAATATTCTTTGTAATGCTATTTGTAACGGTCTAATACTGCCACTACAAATAAGTAATGGGTGGAAGTTTCTGGTCTTTAAGGAGTACAAAGTCTACTGGTATCCAGTGCTATTCTGAACTGTATTATCAAAGCGTTTCATGGAACATTGAAAGACCTGTTTTTTTTTATACATCAATTAAAAAGCAAATCTGAAATTTATGAGGGTCCATGAGGACTGGAGGTGTTAGTCTTCAGGGGTTGGGGCCGGGCACAGCAGGAGGGGCTCACCTTAACGGCCTCCTCATTCTCCTTCAGCGTCTGCTCCATCTGCGCAGCCCTCTCCTCCACACTCATGGCTGTCTCCGTTATACACTGCAGCTTCTCCTGCAGGGTGACGTTGAAGGCCTGAGCTGCCTTGACCCTGCATACAGGGGAGGGTGGAGCCAATGGAAGCCATAAGACAGCCACAGAGACACTGAACTGGCTTCGTAAGAATGTCAGGGTACGTAAACTCGCTAGATGAAAACCGCTACTCTGTCTTGACACCGAAGGTGCAACTATCAATGACGTGTGAATCTGAAACCTTCAGCTACAGATAGTGGATGTTGTCAGATAGATCATAGAGCGCCAGTGTTGGAAATGCAAGAAACGATGTGTGGCACCAAAAATTCTGTACTTGTTGCTTTTCTCCAGGATGTCCTTCTTCATGCTGGACAGCTGGGATCTCTTCGCTTGCACTTCTGTAGCTGTTCCATCCACACTGAACCTCAGGCTCTCCAGCTGTACAAAGAGAACACAAGAAACAGTAAATTACTGAAGTAAACATAGCTCATGCCTCATTTTATGGCCTTGGTGTCAGAAATGCCATCAAACAACATACCACTGTTAGGTGGAGAAGCAGCCATCGCGGATACTGTGGGTTTAACTTCTCATAGCAGGCTAGTTTAGCTCACTTCACTATCCTATTAAATCCCATGATGTTAGATCAGACAGTGATCCTGTCCACTCTTATTACAATTAGGAGTTAAGGGCCTTTTTCAAGCACCCATCATCAAAATCTATCTCTTGACTGCGGGATTTCAACCAGTGACCTTCTGATAACAAACACAGTGTTCTAACATGCTGAGCCACTTGAGACCCCACTACTGCTTTGCCGAAATATCAGTAGAAGTATCAAGATCCTCAGATGGAGAGCAGACAAAGCGGATGACTTTTGGCTGGAATTCCATTCTCCAAATGCCAGCAGTTCTACGTACGTTTGCTGGCAAGTCACCGTTAGCTATAAAGCATGTGCGTCAGTGAGCATATAATGGTGAAAGCAATGATGCCGACCTCATCCTCCAGCCTGACACGGTTGCTCTCCTTCTCCTGCAATTCCTGCCTAAGCTTTGCGGCCAGTCGCTCCGCGGCTGCAATCTTCCTCTCAAGCTCCCTGTTGTTCTCCACCTCGCTGTCCAGAAAGTTCTTCTTTTCCTTTATTGTGGCCTCCTTCTCTCTCACCTCCTGGTTCACCTGGGCGAGAAGCTGGAGGAACAGAATGTTACACCTGACATGGGTTTTATTCACCATTCTACATCTAAGTGTTCAGCTGGCACTTTTTAAATTATAGGCATCAGCCATTTAAAAAGACAGGTATTTAAAAAGACAGGTATTTAAAAAGACAGGTATTTTTTTTTAAAAAAAAGACAGGTATTTTAAAAGACATGTACTTTTAAAAAGACAGGTATTTAAAAAGACAGGTATTTAAAAAAACAAATCAATGAAGTTGGGAGGGAGCAAAAACGTGGACTGTCTGTGGTTCCCCGAGGACTGGGTTGGGAAACACTGCTGTAGACAATCTTGCTTCCTAATCACCAAACATCAGGGGCTATTTATAGCCAGCAATTCACCTGAATCACATGTTTGCAAACTTAGGGGAGAACATTCAAAACTCCTAATCACACTCAGCTGATACTAAATATAAACCTTTTAGCCTTTTTGACCTGCGCCACCCTGCACTGGGCATCTACTACTTTGTCATTCCATTAAGCCTCATTAAGGCATTACATCTCCCCCTGCTGGTTACCAGTGTGCACTGCTCCATCTCACGGTCCCTCCTTCTCATCTGCTCAATGGTGCTCTCCCACTGTCGAATGAGCTCCTGCCTCTCTGCGTGGGCGTGACGGAAGCTTTCAGCAGTACTGTCCAGCCCTATCTGTGCTCGACAGGGAATAAACACAGGATGATCACGATGATGCAGAAACAGGCCGTTCCACGTTGGCCGAATGCCCGGCAGCGGGCCGTCACTTGGACCTGTGCCGTGATCGTCTCCGTCAGCTCGTTGTCAAGGGCTCTGCGCTTCTGGCTGGCCTCGATGGTCATCTTCTCCATGCGAACTGTCAGTTCCTGTGGTGTGGAATGTAATGCATGCCATTAGCTTGCCGGGTATAAACATCCTGGGTCGGTGCCTCAAGCCAATCTCCTGTCGTATGAATGGACATGCCTAAAAGATCTTACCACTCCATTTATTATATAAACTACAGCTAAAAAGTGTTCTTGCTATACAACATCTCCTTCTCCTACATTTAGGGAGTCTCCTGCATGCTCTCTCACCCGGACCCTGCTCTCATCCTGCTGGGCGTATTTGACGATAGCCATGGTGTCCTCATCTTTGCGCGCCGACTCCTCCAGCCAAGCACTGAGAGTCTTCTGGTCCCAGTTCATCTGGCTCTTAAGTTCATCTAACTTCTGGGAAGCTTTGAAGATGTTGTTCTATCGGGGAACATGGATGTGGGGAGGAGTCGTTACAAATCAACATACGACAGTGGCATTGAGGAGAACTAAGCAGCGTAACATGTCCTTCTTACTGCAATCACAGATGCTGTATATACTCATGTATTCCACTGTATGGTTGTACATTTTTCTATTTATTTATCTATCACAAATGTATATACTGTAGGTGTTTCTGGCATTTTGCCCTATTTCACTATTTCAGATTAGACACCAAACTGCATTTTGTTGTCTGAACACATGAACTTTATGCAATAACAATAAATCTAATTTAAAATCTAATCAACCCAAATTATTCTATTTTAAAGTTTTTTGCATGAGGAATCTAGGTTGTTATGCTACACCAGTTGGCACAAAGGGTGGGCTTGAAGGAAGCCACTGTTATTCTTTAGAGAGTCAGGGGGCCGAGCTCTAGATCATCTATGCATTACTGTTGCATCATTTTATATGGGTGCATTGTGTGCTTTAGATCAAGATCCTCAGATGGAGAGCATCTCCTGCCCCTCGTGGGTAATGCAGAAAGACTACAAGGTCATTCAGGCCCACAGTGTACTGTATGTTATTTAGTTGTATTTTTTTTTCCTCTTTCCTCTTGTTTTGTTCTTTTTTCCCCTGGTTGGAGAACCTGCTTCCTCTGCGGTCGACAAAAGGAAAAAGGACTCCGGTCTGGTTCCAAATTTCAAAATTGACAAGATACTGATCCCTAAGCTCTTGGACTTTCAACAGCGGCATCAATTTTTATAAAACATTTACAGAACTGTTGAGTCTTTTCCATTTTCATTTTTATAAAATGTAGTAAAATTATACAACAGAAAAAAAAAACTTTTTTAAAAGTTGAAGTCTAGTTAGACCAGTGTTTCCCAATGCAGTCCTCGAGGAACCCCGGACAGTCCACGTTTTCGCTTACTCTCAGCTCCCAGTGCGCCTGTACCAAGTATTCGGTGTTCCTGATTGGCTGGGAGCTGGGAGGGAGCAAAAACGTGGACTGTCTGGGGTTCCCCGTGGACTGGGTTGGGAAACACTGAGTTAGACAAATGTCAGTGGTGTTTGGAGGAACTGATCTTGTTCAACAATTATCCCTGGTCTCCCCTAAAGCACAGGGTCAACAAGAAGGGACCGGGAATTTATTCCAAGCAGCACGGTTCTCAATCCTGTGGTTCACACACTGGTCAACTTAAAGGCACCAACTCAACTAACACGCATGATTGGACTGTGGCTGTAAATGAGCATGACATGGAGCAAACATACAAACTTAACACGCAGAAGGCAGGGGAAGGCTTTAAACCTAATTCGAAACCTATTAGGCAGCTGATCTAGTCACTGCACCACCACACTGCCCTTTCACAATTATCTTAGCTCATATTATCGTTACATTTGGCGCCATCTAGTGGTTGCAAATACACATATCGTATTTAATTATTTATAACGCACCTATCAAAGCATTCATCTTCAAATCCTTTAGAACAGAATAGCAGAGTGAAATACAAACCTGAAATATATACACAGCATGTATATATGTACATAAATATTAAGCAGTTAAAGCAGCTACGGCTGTCACCTCCTGTGTATTCTTCTTGTCTCTCGTTGCTCCCAGCTCCCTCTCCAGCTTGGAAATCTCCTGCTGCAGTCTGCCCATCTCCCGTTCAGCCAGGGCCTTGAAATGAACCTCGGACTCGGTCTGCTTCTCTTTGGCCTTGGAAAGAGCCTGCATGTATAGACACGCGCGCGCACAATGGATCGCGATTTTAAATACGTACATTTTATGCAACCCAGGTATACACACATTATAATACATTATATAATACACATTAATACATCATATTATTACAAATATAATTTATCCTTATATTTTGCCAGAATGTTACTTTGTAGTTATAACGTGAATATTGTGAAACATTTTCCTACTGATAATTTTATTTTTTTAAGGACTAATAATGACAGTATACCTGAGTGTGAGATAGTTCCTGTCTCACATTTTTCAGATGTTCACCCATCGCTTGGATCTTATCTCTGTGTGTGCAGAGTTTGCCGTCCAGGTCTGATTTTTCCTTTTGTTTCCTTAGAAGCTATTATATGGAAGAAGACACACAACGGGCCGACAGTAAGCAGCGGCTTTCCTAATCTTACCACGATGACATCATCGACCGCAAAAGAAAGACTATGTGTGCATTTAGTTAGTTAATGGAAATGGGAAAGCATGTTTATGGGTGATTAATGAACATAACCTGTCACTACCCATAGATAATTTAAAATAAAGTATTACGGCTGATCTTGATGCAACTTATCTACCTGGTCTTCCAAAGCCTTGTTCTCTGCATTTGCCACTGGTATGGCAAAACCTTCATCCCAGCCAATTTCGTTTAAAAGAGTTGCACCCGACATTTTTCCTATGGAACTTTTATCCACTGTTTGATACGACGTCTAAGCCGACTTCGTTGTGCTCAGCAGAACTCGGACTGGAAACCCGTGCGTTGTTTTGTGTTTGGCTAAGGCGCCCTTAGCAACCGAGCGCTGCCCGGATGTTAAAACTGCAGGCGCCATATCTGCCACTAGAGGGAACCACAACATCAGTTATAGGTCCTACACCTGCCATGCGTGAAATGTGCTTTTTGACTTTTAATCATATCATTCGCCAGTGTTACATCTTAGTCCAAGTAAATCTGTACATTACCTAATAAATGCAGAATATTTTAGTTTATACCTGCAAAAGCAAAAAATACATTAAAATGGGCATTTTTAACGTGCACTTCTTATTTACTTGCTCAGCTGATCTAAAACTGAATTACTGAATAATGGAGCTTGACTAACTAGCACATGCTGTGGTAACAAGTATTTAAAGATAAATCTAACCACTCTGAGGTGGTGTGCAGCCTTGTGCCTTTGATCTGGAGGTTGTTGGTTCAAACCCCTGGTTTGGCAGAGTGATTTCAACATCGTGTGCTTGAGCCAGGCCCTTAACCCCAATTTGCTTCAGGGTTACTATGTGAGCTTTCTCTCTGGAATATATGTTGCTTTGGGGAGAAGCATCTACTAAATAAATGGAATGTTAATGTAATCAAGGATTGGTTACTTAGTAAAATTAGAAGCCTTTTATTGTCATTATACCATGTATAACGGAAAAAAACCCCAAAACAAACATTCCGTCATTTACACATAATTAATGTAAAAATACTACATATAAAAACTACTTAAAATTATATAGAGAGTAGTAATGTTTAACAAGATAAGGAAATACACTTAAAGTAACAATGTGGTATTGCTAGACAGAAACGTATTACTGATGATGCAAGTATTACACAATGAATTACCAGCAATATGAATACTGCACAGAGAATTACTAATAGTGTAAAATATTGCGCACAGAGCAATGGTATGATTCATAGCTGATATATATAGCAACATGTCTTAAACTCTTAATAATGCTTATATGCCAAATTATGCTTCACATGCCTGTTAGTCACAGCGTTGTTTTCCAATGAATTGTAGCATCAGATCTGCTCATTTGTCTACATGGGTGGTGTCTCTGTGTGTAAATTTGTCACATGTAACTTGGTTTCAGTTGAACTAAGCACCTCAGATCCTCTCTGCATCTTCCAGGTGATAAGATAATAATCATTCAGTGTGACATCAATTCAAGTGAATTTTATTTACATGCATTTTTAAACAAAAACAGCACAGCAGCTAGTTAGGGGAAAACTTGAATGCGCACATAAAGATGAATGAACTTAGGGTTGCTGAAGAAATTAGAAAGTACATGGGCTTATTCTGTAAACAAGCTCACAGCATTTACAACAGTCTCATGGAAATGTGCAGAGACGTGAATTAAATTCAGAAGAGTGGCGCTTCCTGAAAGGGTCGATTGTGTCTGCGGCAGTCCTGCTTTGGCTACATCCAACGGAGAGATATGAGGAATTTCTAATTTTCTTTCCCTCTATTTTAATAATAGCTGTGCATAAGTAATTTACTGAAGGCCAGACCAGCAGTGGGCAACAGAAAATTAAACTCATTTTATCTGAAAGCATGTGAATTTCTATATATCATTAGCATGCATAGAATTTGCACAATGCTATTTTTCATACTGATGGAATGTAACCAAATAACATATCAGTTTTTTTTTTTTTTGCTTACGCACAAGTAAAATTCTTAGATAAAAGTGCTAGACGCTTGCAATTTTGCTACAAATGGAAACCAATTCTTGGAAGCTTCTTATTGCTGAATTCACTTGATTTGCATTTAAAACTGATAAAGGTAACATTAGGATTTGTGGAATAGATTTGATGGGATGCACTCTGTTCTGTAATGTCATTAAGCAAAATCTTTCTTATCTTTTCTATGATAATCGTTTCAATATTTCCTGTCTCCTCTTAAATAGCTATTAATGCTGTTATTAATTTCTGGAGTGTTAAAGTTTGAAGCTTCCTGTAGACATTTCGGCAATCTGCAGGCTAGACTGCAAATGAATACTTTAAGAAAAGCTCTACTTACAGAATTTTCATTAAGTGGATTTTAAGTGGATCTTTTCATATTGAAAACTCCCTTAGACGTTTGTCCACAAGAACGTAAAGTTTTACCACAAATTTGGTATGCATATTATGTATTTTCTTCTATCTGTGTTATAACTCTAACCTTTTGAAATGGCAATCATCCACCAAAAGGAAGATATTTTACATTTTATTTGAAAGTGTAAATAAAAACCACCAATTAACTGCCGGAAAAGAGTATAATTCATTTCTCTTTAAAGTGCAATATCTAGTTACACTTGCTGACAACTATTCATATTCACCAATACTTTCTGGATACTAAGACTCCATCCACAATAGTTGCACACTATTTTCAAACAGCTCATGTGCAAGGTCACACACATCCCTAATCACACATGTTCTTTAGTTACGACTGATTGATACTGGAATTTGTAAGGTACTTATGAATTATTGTTAATATATATATATATTTTTTAAATCTGCAAACAGGACATGAAGCTGAGAGGATTTCAAAGTTCCTCACGGCGAAGGAACTTTAATCCAGGTGCTGAGTAGTATATATTAACGTTTCGCTCTGAGCATCTGAAAATTGCAAGGCTCACGTTTTGCTAGAGGCAGGTGGGGCTTCCAAAGGCCACAAAGGAACACTACAAGCAATCAGCAGCAGAGCTTTTACGTTTGCATGCACGGTAAAAGACTTTCAAGCGATTCATTCTGTTTGTTTGTTTATTCAAATTAAGAGAACATGTTGCGTACCGTCAGATCCAGACTTGTAATTAACAGCTCGGGGATTTTTTTTTTTTTTTTACAATCGTCAGAGAAATTACTATGCGTTTATTTTATATTGGAAAAATTGTTAAAGAATATGACTGTGACGTAATAGGCCTATTTTACGAAAGAACTAAAAATTCTGTAGATATACAACAGTACTATTCAGTCAATGGCGGTTCTTAATTATTACATACATATTTCTGTTTTTCATTTAAATAGGATTTGTGTTTGTATTTCCAATGGAGCAGCAGTTAGCCAGGATAAGGCACATATTCACGGTAGAGTTATCTTTTTAGGCACACGTGTGCACTTACGTTTGTAGTTTGCTAAAGTTGTCCTTGGTCATGACTGTACATATTAAAGAAGGAGATTCTAATAAAGTATTTGAACCCAGGTCCTAAGCAGATTATGTACACTTTATACTGAGTTTTATATCATATTCAGCATTGCATATTGCACATGCCTGTCACCCAGGCCCGGGTCTGCTGCTGAAGATCATAGTTAATTCTGTGGATTTATGGAAACGCTACAGTCATATCATCGGCAGCATCAAAAATACTAACAAGCTTACTGTAAGCTTTGGCTGTAACGTTATGAGGTTTGAATTTATGGAACGACTACAGACAGCAGTGCAAAATCCAGGTTCAGCAAAAATTAAATGCTTCCCATACTTAAATATCAGACCTGCTGCATGCATATTTTCCAGTAACGTAAGTGAGTTCGCAATTCGATTCATTGCCTAAGGTCGGGACAACCTAAAATCCCCCTAGAAATATTCATTCGGGGTTTTCCCGATTCTCCATTGAACTAGCCTGCACTTGATAAAGGCCTATTTATTGTATTGTTTATTTTCCATCCATCCATCCATCCATCCATCCATCCATCTTTCAGACGTTTATCCTGGATGTTGGTTTCAGTATTGGTATGGGTGAAATCTATCCAAATCCCCCCGCCTCCTAAACACACATGGTACTGTATTTCCTCAGTATCGGTTGGGACGTGGCCCGGCCCCTACCCCCCATATAGTCATTACCGGTGTGATTCGGCACCACGATATGGATTTCACTATACCGCGAAAAGTCAACAGTCTAATTTCACAACAGACGCAGCATGTATTTTATAAAATGTTGGATAAATGGACACAGTTTATTGGTGATTTCATGTTCGGCAAAGCTGATGTTTTTAACAACTGTATAAAGTAATATTATTTTTTTATACCAATCAACTCAAGTGGCGTGACACTCACTTTCAGACTCACGCTCCAGCAGGAAATCTTACGGAAAATATATATTATTCTATTATAAGCCTAAAATTCCCGACATCAAAGCGTCGGGGTAGTTTGCAAACCCTACAGACAATTTCCAAGGTATTAAAACTGTTACATACATGTAAATACACAGACTTGTCTCGAATTGAAGATCAACCCTACGTTTATCTGAAATTAGCTGTAAAATGCAGCTTGTCATTCACTTTGCGTTGTTACTCCGATATATATATATATATATATATATATATATATATATATATATATATATATATATATATATATCCATAAATGGATGTATATATATATATACAAATTAACATAAAGAGCCAGGACATGCTATACTCCTCCTAAAACTTGGAAAACAGTAATACCGTGATATAATACCGTCATCGTCCAAAAAGTGAGAAATTCCATGAAAATAAGTCATGTCGTCCACCACTATGCTGAAGCTTGAAGACACGCGGGCATATCCATACTGAAGGCAAGAAGCGCTAATACATCCAAACAAGCCTGTAAGGATTTAACAAATGATTTTAAAAACTCGTTTTGATAGCTAAAGGACGGAACAGAATGCTAACAGGCCTAGCATTATATCTGTGAATATGATCAGACATCAATCTATTGAATAAACTCTGCCAGTCTCTGGTGCAAAATTTTCTTTGAACTATTTCCTCGTTGGTTGTCCATTTTTCGTTTATTTGAATTATAATTCAGAATTAAGATGGATAGCCAGTTATGACGTCGATTTGAAGGTTTATTTTAATAAACTCTGCGTTATCAGTGGCCTATAATCGAATCACAGACACAGTGCACAAGGCCAGACTCACCATATGAAATGAAAAATATAATTAGCCTGAACCTAATTACAAGCCGCAAAATAAAACATAAAAACAAGACTGATTTTCCCTCTCATTCAATTTTATGAGTAATTAGTTTTGGACTTTAAAGTGCCATCCTTCAGTCATCCAAAAGCAGACCTGATATCCCACGCACTTTTATTTTGCTTTAATGAGGAGCTAATGGACCCATAGAAGATTAGTTATTTTCTGTTGAGAGAGAGAGAGAAAAAAAACTATTTTCCACTTTTGAAAAGATCAACAGTATACGGGGTGATAGGCAGAGCGGCTCTTTGAGTTCGCATACACTGAGTTCTGTTACTCGACTTCATATTCAATAGGAGTGAGACTGCAATTAGCAACAAAGCAAAGAGAATCCAGTTTTACAGCTGAGCTGCTGTCTATGACTCAAAGCGTCACCATAATTAGAACCAGGGCGAATGTGTCAGCCGTGAACAAAAACTACTGGCAAATTACTCTTGCAAAAGAGCTGCACTAATGTTTTTCAATTATACATAATAATAGCCCATATAAACTGGATCTGGATACATATAGTGAACAAAGACATTGGGAGAGAGGAGCATTATTATTTTTGGCAATATAATTTCTAAAACTGAAACACTGCCATGTTTGCCCATAAAATAACCCATTAAGGGGCAGATCTCAGTTTCACTGTAGCCTGGTAACTTTACATAAACTTACTTGAATGTTACATAGAAATGTGACATTGTTGCATTTTATTGAAGTAACGTACAATGTGATGCAAACCTTTGAGGTTTCATTTTTTTTATAAATATATACATTTTATATAGCATACACACATACAGTTATAAACACACAGTAATTACATACCATTCAGAAAATAAGTCAAGGCAGGTTTAGGGGTACAGTCGATAATTGTACAGGTATCAGTACGGGACCACTTGAGATCAATCAGATAATCGAAGACCAGAGAGTGCTGTATTGAGCAGTGTAGAGATATACCTAATTACTTATCAGTCATTATTTGTAAAATGGCGATCTTATACGATGAATTAATGATTTATGAAACTACATAACGGGGAAATGACTCGATTTTCAAATCACGCTTAACAATAATGGAATCCATAATCGTGTCGTCATAGGGGAAGTGAGGATTTTCAGCCTAACCGTAAACACCTTCATAATAATGGCCCTTAAAATGAGAAAGAACCTGCTTGAAAATACATTTTTATTTAGCCCGTTTTGGATGCTAAACACTCACACAAACCCAAGACTATTAATTATTGATATATTACTGTTACTATGAAATAAGTCGTGTTTAAAAAAGGTGAAAACCTAGGAACCAGTTCAATATTTTACAAGCACATTTCCGTCACAACATAAATTGCAGTGTGCAACACTTGCATTTTATAAAAACAATGTTGCTTTAACAACTTATTAATGTGATTCATTAGACATAATTATCAATGATATTCAAATTGATATTCATAGTGAAGTACAATATCTGATCACGTGGCACTAATAGAGGTCAAACTGTGGACATAAGACTTTCCTACTGTTCTGCTACAGATACTAGTAGCTACAGATGCTGTAAATAATACTGCTAATACGATTTTAGTTTTTGAATGTAGAGCAAGTTCTTCCTGGATCCTGTTGTTACTCATCGATCCGTTTTTAACCTTTTATATTGTGATCATGGTGACAGAGGGCTGGAGCCTATCACAGGTCAAGGGTAAAGAAACTGAGGGGCACCCAGGATGGGACGGCAGTCCATGGCAGGCGGACGTGCACGCACATATTACGTCAAATTTAAGCCACAAATTAACTTACTGCACGTCTTTCGACCAGGAGGATCCGAATTAAAGAAGCACCGTACAAACAGTAATGGATGGGCTGGTGCTCGAAGCCTTCGACACGTAAAGGGTCACTCAGTATTTCTAAAGGGAGGCACTTCAAAGTTCGGGCAAATGGGGCAGGTGCTCCGGAACCCCCAGCCTGCACGTGCCTGATCCGAAGAACATGTAAACTCCACACACAGGGTTAATAATTTTGAAACTTAATCCTATCAGGTATGATGCAACAATGCTAACTGGTCAGCCACCGTGCAACGCACCTTAAAAATGCATAAATACTGCCATGTAAGAAGTAACAACGACACATATTTTATGTAATTTCTTCATGGCAAATAAAAAAAAAAACTTATGTTAAACAGTTGATATTGGTTTAAACTTGATTTCAGACTGCTTCTATATAAGTAATTGTATATTCTGCGCTGTCATATTTTACACAGTTTTGACACATTCCGCACCGGACGTGGGAACCTGTACTGCGTTTTAAAAAGCCGTCAAGGCAGAACATTCACGCGGAGTCGCTAAAGCTTCTAGAAGCTTCTCCCGGCATGCACTGCGCGTCCAATATGGAGGAACTGACGGTGGAGGTTCGTGGCTCCAACGGGGCTTATTATAAGGTAGCCAACTGAAATATCCATGTCCCGCCAGCGAGTTTGTCAGTAAGCGGGTTAGCTATCAGACTCATTAGCAACAAATTATTTATATATTATTATTTATATATATTTGCGTTCGCAAATATAAAACGCCGTTTTAAAGAGGCGATCACCTGGACCTTCCTCTTAACACTGGCAATGTTTGGCAAATCAATGTTATGCTGTAAGGCACCTTGTACTGACCAAATACCTGCAGTTAGCCACCTCATCATTCGTTTTTTTGTTGTTGCTTTTATTATCCCATCATTTTAAAAATTAGAATCTGCATAGCAAACACGCACAGCAATCAAGTAGTTAGCTTCTTATGCAATAGCTAGATCTGATAGCTATATTTTGCAATTATCCTCAGTTAACTGGGCTACGTACTGGGTGTGGTAACTTGGCTACTCATTGACTGCACTTTGAAGAGTTCAGATATGCATAAATACCTTTCGTAGCTATTAAATTAGGACCTTGGTGTCGATTAATAAATTATGGATCTCTGTACTATATGGAAGTTGACAAGAGTGACTTGTCGTCTTTGTCGGGATTATTTCTTACTGGCATGTCAGAAAGCATTCAGGTCATTGTTATTCTGTTGGTTTGGGGTTTTGTTGCCTTACGCTACGTTAGGGTTTGGTCTTGTACTTCGTAAAGATACGACGATCTTTTGCAGACTGACACGGATATTCGCGGGTAACTAGTTATTTAATTAGGAATAGAGTCGAAACTCTAAAAGCGATAGGCAACACACTAGATCGTATATTATAATTTAATAATTTACTTTTGTTTCTACTTTTATGTTTCCGTTTTCTCTTTGGTGATAGTTGTAGGGTTCTTTTTTCCCCGTTTTGTTTATGTGACGCATTTCTGGATGACGTAGTAATTCGTTTTATGCTGTGCATGTAGGCTGTTCCCTTTTAAATACCTAAGAGCCAAAAAAATAATTTGCCTTTTCTTTTTAGGGAGTTGTTACAGATGTCCATGAAGACTCGCTCACAGTTGTCTTTGAAAATAAGTAAGTATGACATAATGTAATCTGGAGTTTTTCAGTCGAACCTGTGGGAAAAAAATGAAACTACATCCAAGGATGTAAGTGTTACTGAAACCTCTTGTGTCAAACAAAACATCATAGACTAGGATTTGTTGTATTTTAGTTATTTTTAATATCATTTAGCTGGCAGCCAGAGCGACAGGTCCCTTTCTGCGATGTACGACTGCCACCCCCTGCAGGCGGCAAAAGGAACATCGGGGAAGGTGACCAGGTCGAGGTATGCGTGCGAGTTCTCAAAAGTGAACTCTTGAAACATAAGATTACTGTAATGTTTGATAGAATGGAAATTGTGTACCTAAATAACAAAAAAGCCCTCCCACTATTTTAAACATCTTGACAGATTTTCTCAAGAGCCAATGAGCAGGATCCTTGTGGCTGGTGGTTGGCTAGAGTACGCATGATAAAAGGCGATGTAAGTTTTGGAAGCCTGCAGCCTGCATTTAGCCTGTCTAGCTTTTCTCTGAATCCTATTCCTGTTTTAATTCCCACCCTCCCAATGTCTCACTTTAGTTTTACGTGATTGAATATGCAGCCTGCGATTCCACCTACAACGAAATCGTCACATTTGACCGGCTCCGGCCCATAAACCTGAACGGGGCAGTGATGAAGGGCACCTTCTTAAAATGTTTGGTTCCAATCCCTGATGAGTTAAAGGCAGCGTATGTACATTTTCTACAAATGAATTGCATCGTCAAAGTCTATTTTCAGGTGCTTTTTATATTTATATCACTTGTTCTGAAAAGCAGTGATATTTTTCAGATGTGAAGATGAGCTTGTGCATAGAGACTTCAGAAAGGCAGTGGGAGCGTGCAAGATCTTCTACAATGCAGAAATTAAGAGTTTGGTTGTACTGGTAGGTGTCCTCCTGTGTGATTAGCTACTTTTATGGGAAATAACATTTCTTGATTGGCATCTTGATTAATCTTTAACGTTTTATTTTCCAGTCCAGAAATGAAAGCACAGTGAAGCGTGTTTCTTTACTGAGTGACATGCACCTCCGAGGTATTCGTACAAAATCACTGCTTGTGTCCAGAAATGAAGAGGCAACAAAACACTTGGAGGTAAGAGACGTTTGTTTTTATGATTTAATTTTTATTATTACTTTTTTTTTTGTCAGACTAAGTGTTGATTTAAGTTTAAATTTAGAAAATGTCTGCTATTATGTTAATTTAAGTCATTTACATTATGGATTTTATAAAATATTTTGTACTTCTGCGCTTGAAATTCTGTCCCAACTCTTCAAAACACACACGACTCTTTTTGGTGGGTGCAAAAAGTTTTTAAATACGAAATCTGATAGCTGAAAGTCACCAATAGCTCAGCAGTGCTGTCCCAATGTTATCATCAAGAGTTCATAGCTGCTACTAGAACATGTGACGCAGTGGATTTGCTGGGCGTTTTCAGAACACGAAGCAGCTTGTGGCTGCTTTCCAAGAGGAGTTTGTCATCAAGGAGGACTTGATGGGCCTGGCCATCGGCAGCCACGGCAGTAACATCCAGCAGGCCAGGAAAGTGCCAGGGGTTACGGCCATCGAGCTGGATGAGGAGAGCAGGACCTTCAGGGTCTACGGGGAGGTAAAACGGGGAGTCCTGCACAATGGTTCTTCTTAACCTTTGTTTCAGGATTCTGACCGTTGTTCCCTTCTGATTAAGAGCACAGAGGCAGTACGGAAGGCGAGGGGATTCCTCGAGTTTGTTGAAGATTCAGTTCAAATCCCAAGGAACTTAGTTGGTATGACTTTTTTTTTTTTTTCTTCTGGAAACAATACATTTAAGGATTTTTAATCCCATGAATTCAAATTGAAAGTGTTTTGTGAAACTTCCAGGTAAGGTCATTGGTAAAAATGGGAAGGTCATCCAGGAACTTGTAGATAAGTCTGGTGTGGTTCGAGTGCGGATTGAAGGAGACAATGATGGCAAACTCCCTCGACAAGAAGTAAGGCCCGACTCTTTCATTTTAGGTAGATGGAACATCCTCTGCTCCCCTTTTGTACAGCATGGTTCCCATAACTCTACTACAATGGAGCATACTGATCCACTTTCTCCACTATTATCTTCCCATTATGCTAAGCTAGTAAACAAAAAGGACAAATTTGTCTATGATACTGTTTATTTTGTGCTTTTGGATACAGGGAATGGTTCCTTTCACCTTTGTGGGCACGAAGGAGAGCATTGGGAACATCCAGGTTCTGCTGGAATATCACATTTCGTACCTCAACGTAAGCCGCCGTATGGTCTGCTTTCGGGTCCAGTGGGTCTGCGGGTGGAGGGTGACCCCGACCCCGACCTTTGCTGTCTGCAGGAAGTGGAGCAGCTGAGGCTGGAGAGGCTGAGGATCGAGGAGCAGCTCCGGCACCTGGGTGTGGGCTGCAGGCCGGCGCCGGGGCGACCCAGCAACAGGGGCTATGCCGCAGCGGAGAGTGGCTCTTCCCAGCGAGCAAACCGCCCCTATGGAGCCCGGGGCCGGGGTCGCCGGGGCCCCAACCCTGCCTCTGGATACGGTAACCCCCACATCAGCATGCTGTGGGAAAAATGAATCGTACTACTCTGGCTTGGACTGTGAACTGGAGAAACATTTATATAACCCGTATGGATTCGGCAGTTTGTGTTAATCTGGTGTTGTGTTCTGCTCTCAAAAGGGATGAAATCTGAGCAGTACAACACCTCCGAGACAGACTCAGAGAGGAAGGGAGAGCTGAGTGACGGATCTGCAGGGGGAGATGGCCGGGGGCGGGAAAGCCGAAAGGGGCTCACAGCGGCCCGTGGACGAGGAGGCCCTGGGGGACGGGGGCGTGGCACTGGGAGAGGAGCGACTGGTGCCTCAATCGGCTCTGGTACAAGTCTTAAACCGTATCCCTGTTCTGCTTCTGTTCTGCTGAGTGTATTCACCGTGGGTCACATGTCCTTGTTTTTGGTCCCTGAACTGGATTGATTGAAACACTTATTGTCCTCCTCAGTACTGAGGCTGTAATCCATTTAGGAGGGGGGGGGGAAATCACAAACAAAATATACATAGCCATGCCTATTTTTTTTTTCTTTTGTGTTTGAGAGTGTGACTATTTTATTACCGGGTTAAAATTTCAGTTTGTCGTTTTACTTTGAAATCCACTTGCAGTGCTGAAAGATCCAGACAGTAACCCGTACAGCGTCCTTGACAGTGAGCTGGATCCGGGTACTGACAACGATGGCAGTGACCCCCACCTGAGCGCAAGCAGGCGCCGTCGCTCCCGACGCCGCCGGACGGACGAGGAACCCACGCTAGTCGATGTCATGAGCGAGTCAGATGCCTCGGCACACAATGGGAGCGGCACTGGTAAGCAAGCAGGAAAGCCTTTGGAGGGCATTGCAGTTATCGTGGGACACTGTACTCCACGCGCAGGAACAGAGCCAGCCAGGTAACAGGTCAGAAAAGCCCAAATTTTAATATACTTAATGTGACTCCAGCATTTTTGTATTGCGGTCTCATTCCTTTTAAAAACGATAATCTACCGCCAATAACTGTCATTTAAATATTATTGTAATTTCATTGGATGTGCAGTTCTAATCGTACGAGCATCCTGGCGATATCGTCCGCAGAGTTGCTACGATTGGTGTCTGGAGTTTGGTAGAAGAAAATAGTTCTTGCATTAAAATGCTCGCTACAAACTGGCCGAGACTGACATTTCTGTGGCAGGTATCTACAAAACTAGGAAGGACCCAGCAGAAGAACCTACATCAGGGCTCCTCAAATCTGGACCTCGGTTCCAAATCCAGGCCTTGTTTTCAGTTCTCCCAGGCAGTTAATTTAATAATTACTGATTCTGATTGGACACAAAGTGTGACGCGCAGAGCGGAACTAACGGTTTTGGGCGTGTCCGAATCCATTTTGCAATATTGACGCTGGGGAATAACCAGGCTTTGTGCCAGCGCAAGGCGGAAAAAATGTTGTCCTGACTCTCTTAATTATTCAGTGGTGTGTTTTGGGCGTAAAAAGCAATAAACCAACTGGAATGACGCCTCACCTCACCTTTAAAAGGCAGCAGCACGTGATCTGCAGTGGATCACCGTTACAATGGCGCGTTTGCCTGGCATGCCACGTCACTTCTCGGCCGAGGAAACTGATGTGCGCGAAGTGAATGTGGACGAGCACATCACCTGCAGGGGCAGCACTGTTCCACATAAGCCTTTTGAGGTGAAACAGGTGTGGGACGGGGGAGCAGCAAGTGTGCCTTTGTTTACTGGAATCTCCAGATCACTACTCTCACAATATACTCGCAGATGATTCAGCTCTCCTGCCAGCTGATCCCTCCTTGCCCGCGCCGATGCCATCCACTCCTTGTTGGCATCAGCATATGCAGTTCAGCCTCACGCCTTCTAATTCATCTAATGCGCCCTGATTTATGTCCAACAGGCATCCATCATGCATGGTACTGTTACGCAAAACGCATCATCCTACAAAGAGAGCCGCGCCCTTCTCAGGGCTGTATTGTAATGTTCCACCTGACTTGCCTGAAATGCATTTTCAGCAATCCAAATGTCCTTTCAATTACAGTACATGCTTAATTTTGATAACGAACTCGAAAGGTCTTTTAACGATACAACTCAGAAGCCCGCACGTTTCGAAAATGCGCTGCTTAAATACTGTTTAATAATGTGCCACTGGCTTTAGATGTGGTTTTTGTTGGTCAAAAGCGCAATGACATTAAAATAGCAACGCGCCAACAATATGCCCGACCACGCCTCTTAAGAAATACCACTCCTATGAGTGGAAAGCGGGTGCAAAATCATTGACTATTTTGATGACATGCGTGCATGGCGTGAAAATGACCAATGTGCTGGTACGAAACTAGCAAAAACACTTTGCGTGGGGTTTTGTGCGAGTGGGAAATGGAGCCCAGAGACTTTATACACTGCTCACGGGAAAAGGGAGGCTGGAGAATCAGCAGGGCTCAGACCTTGAGCACCGCGATTTGAGTAGCCCTGACCTAGATGGATAGATGGCTCCTGTAAACCGCTTTCAGTTTTAGGGTGAACTGCTTTTAAAAGAAGTTCTGCTGTTGTATCATTGGAGCCGAGTGAGGAATTTGTAATTATGTACAAAAATGAAATGTTAGAATTTATCTGTTGTGTTGTACAGGACATTTTGCAGTTTTTATTTGGGTGATGTTTTTCAGCAACCATTGCAGATGACATACCCGAGACGGAGCTTCAGGAAAGTCAGCTAAGCTCTAAGGGGAGGAACAACAAAAATGAGCAGGTAAAGCTCAAGGTTGTGTGAATTTGTCAGATATGAAACTGAAACTTCAGGTTTGTCCTCTCTGACTTTTAGAAGAGCCACTATCAGGTGGCCTAGGATTAAGAGCTAATGTGGAGATGGTTAAGTTGTTAAATAGTTTGAAATGGTCCACAGGTGTTTAGGTTTTATTCGCTGTTGTCATGATGATGTTCTGCTTGAATCCGGAGGCCTTTTCAGAAGCTTTTGAACCGTACAGGCATAAGCGAATCAGAGGGCCTTGGATTTCACGCCCATTCTCGTTCCCTCGCACAGGGGGATTGCTTGGAGGAAGATCCTGCAGTCGTGACTGACAGCAGTCCCGGAGATGCGTCCCGTGACGATCCGGGAAAAACGGCATGCGCTCCCGACGAGCCAGTGACGAAAAACGGTCACCAGGGTGACGGAGACCAGCTGAATGTGCCCAATGGGGTGACGGAGACCAGCTGAATGTGCCCAATGGGGTGACGGAGACCAGCTGAATGTGCCCAATGGGGCTTCCTAAGCGATTCTGCTTTATACCCTGTTTTACAGCAGTGCTCATATAGGCTCGCCAAAGACGACTGCCAGATTTTTTTTTTATATACCGCACTTTTGAGTTCCATTATAATGGAACAAAATAAGATATAGCCTGCAGAAAACAATAAAAAATGTAAGATATTTTGTGCCTTCTAAAAGTAATTTCAGAACACATATTTGCTGATTTGGATAACTTATGTTGGGATTACTGAGATCGATAGCACCCATTAGGAAGAACGTTAACTGCTTTTCTCACTTTTTTATATGCAACCACTTTGTAAATGAATATCTCGAAGCGCATTCTGGGGGGGGGTTATGTTTTGTTTGGTTTTTTTTTTGCACTGGAGCTTAGGTGGAATTCTGTTATGCTCACCTTTGGTCCAATTCACTGTTCTGTTGGTGTCTGCTTCACAGAAAAAAGCAGTGACTCTTAGGAAAGAGACCTTTCATTATTTATTTTAGATTGTACAGTATTTAAGACAAAAAAAAAACTTAACACTTAAACTGGCAGAAAATGTTTTCAATGCAAATGTAATCTGAGCTAGTCCAGTTCCATACTTTGCTGTATATTTTTCTTTGTGCAGTATGTTTTCTATGCAGGTAAGTTCAATAAATGCTTTGTGGTTATTTTTTTCCCCTCAATGCAGCTATGAACACATGCTTCTAACTACTGTGTTGGAGGATCGGCAACCCAGAAATTTTAGCTGTGCTTAACATCACAGTAAGAAACTCACTGTTGAACCAGTAACCATTAATTACATTGTGGAATGAAAGTTTCATCACTTTAACTATGTTTACACTGGGCAAATAAATTGTGGAGGATTTGTTGATGGGCAAAATTCTCAAGAAAAAGAATTGTATTTATTATTTATGAACAGTAGGATAATTTGAACATTTATTGGTAGTGCAAAAGGTGCTCATTTCTTGGCCTGTCCATCAAGTAAATCTTTAGCCTCATTTATTTTTGCGGCAAGGTAAGGCGAACCACCTGTAAGAGAAAAGAACGAACATTTCATTAATTCCCAGTAACGCTTTCTTTTATTATAACTTGAGTGACTTTCTTTGTGAAAAGTGACCATACCTCTATCAGGATGATTCAGCACCATTATTTTTCTGTGAGCTTCCCTTATCTTCATTTTATTGGCTGTGGGACTGGAAGAAAGGAAAGATACAAACCTGTTGCTTGGAAAATGACTGATCGATTCTGTGTTTAAACTAACGGGGCATGTACCTGACGCCTAGAACGAGAGAGGCTTCTCTTTTGGTCATTTTTGGCTCAAATCCACCTCTGTAGTATCCAGAACCAAACGCCTGTTCCAAAGACAGCAGTTTCAACCTATACATCGATTTATCTAAATAAATCCACAATAAACTTCCTGTGATCAAAGTTGGGTTTGAAAATGTCACGGTGCTAATTATGGTTAAAATTGTTTGAGGGGGTGTTGAGATGTTTACATCTTACAGATTTGGGAAGGTGGTGGAGAGCCTGTTTCACTTGAGGTTCCATGTGCCTCATGGCCTGAACAGCATAGCGTCCTGCAGGAGACCAACAAAATTGAAAAAGCTTTGATACTTTTCTAGGTCATTCATCAGAGCGAGCACCTCAAATCTGTATGCATCAAGCTGGACAGGCGCCAGGGAGATAGATGAAATGTGTGGTGAATGAGGAGCGGCAACAAAAAAAACCTGCAAATCCGGCGGCAGCCAGCGCTAATCCCACGGCCACCACAGTACCAGCCTGCAAACAGAAGTAAGAAACACAAGTGATCTTTACTGATTGGCACCACGAGCTCACATCCACGAGGATCGATAACCCACCGCAAGGTATTTTTTAAAAATGTTTGTGGATGCATTACATACATATCGTGTAATATATGCAAAGGTATATCATACTGATCATCTACAACACAATGAAAATGATCATAAGCCTAAACTAAAGCACTGCAAAAAATATTAATACGATGCAAAGACTTTAAATCGTGACTAGTTAACTACCTGTAAATAAGAACACAACATAGTTATTTTAATTGCGATTATAATATCTGAAATTTCACCCAAGTAGAGAATTGATAAGCCAAAATTAAACTACATTCAAGCCTCGTAACGACACAGGAAAGATACCGACACGAGACATCTAAAAGTAACATAATTTTCCCATACCATCTCATGTGAAAGACTACTTCCTTCACGGCAACAACAAACATAACGTTATCTCCCACTTGTAAAAAAAAAAATAATAATAATTAGCGATGCATTATATTCTTGCTTGGGTAAATAAAAGCACAGGGCTAGCAAGCCACACGGCTACATGTAAGGTCACTGCCACTGACAACCAGCCGTAAAGTAGGCAGCAATGTCGCACGAAGAAACAACGTCACGACACTAACGTGTCTGCAGCGCGCGGTGATTTCCGGCACTTTGTGGGAACGTCGAAAGGAGTCCTGGATCTTCTGATATTGTGTTGTTTGAGACCCTAGTGTTGGAGGTCATCTGCTACGCTGTTCACTGGAGGTGTTAGTGATCTGGTGTTTATTTTAAATATATGTACACTTTTGTAAATTATTATTCACAAAGAAACAATAAATTGAACTGAAACTAATAAACTGTATTTTAGAAGACATAGATTATCTAAAATTTCTCATACAGAAATAGCTTTACCAAGAACTCCTTAAGGGCTGTAGGTCCTTGAGTAGAATAATTGTCTCCACTGGTTGCCCATAAGGAGATTCAAATCCATTTCTTTTCAAGCAGAATTCACTCTTACACCTGTTCACCTAATGGGGTCATATTGCAGTTTCTTCCCAGCAAATTCAGGTAATGATTGCCCTCAGAATATCCAGTGGCTTTTCAACCCCACTGTAACAATGAAGCATCTCAGATTAAATGCATTATATTAGCGCACAATGAAAGAGATGATTAGTGTGCGATACACAGAAGGAGACCACATCTGAGGGTTGTTCATTTGTTAATTGTTAAACAATGTGTGGATAATCAGACAGAATTTGGAAACTACACATTTGTGCTTAAATTAGCTGAAGCCTGTGATTGGTGGTGAGTGGTACTGGATGTTAAAATGATGATTGACCAGCGAAGAACAAAGGGCAATTCAAGTCAGTGAGGGCAGCGAATCTCCTCAAGACAATGCAGAGACACTCATGCGACACAATTAATTGTTAAAAGGCCCTAACAGTAGCCTCGGTTCATTTATGGAATTACAATATTTCTCACTAGCAGGTGAGGAAATTTTAAATGGCATTGGACATTTAGCAGACAGTAAAAGTCAGCCTTAATGATAAGTCTGTCCTTGGAGAGTCAAATCCAATGGATTGCATTTCAAAAGAATTTACAAGTCCAGCCACACAGACATTAGAGTTAGTGCCCCTAAATCATATAGAATTAGAGTGCTGACTGCATGTGATCTGCATGCACACATAAAAAGCCCAGAGGAAGCTACATTTTCTGTTGGTTTTATTAAGCCAAGCAAGCAATTTAATTCTTTTGTTCGGGAGAGTTCTCCTTCATTGATTAACAAAAGCAGGAATATAATTTTTTCAGCCTTTTTACAGCCTGAAATGTCAAGCCTTTTGAAAGCAGATTATTCTGCCTCTGTGCAGTGAATACAGCCAGAGTAACCTTTTGTCTACAATTAAATATTCTGGCATAAATATAAAAGAAAAATCAGAGATGGGGAAGATTGACTCACGAGAGGCTGGAGAGGTAGATCTGCACTCTGATAGTGCAAGCAGCTTTCTTCTAATTAAATATGCCACAGAGTCTCAAAGCATTCGCCTTCAGCTGAGGAGAGAGAAAACTGCCTTACTATGTAAAGGAGAAATATGTCACATCATCAGTCTGTCCGCAGGTTTCCTCTTGGGCGTCTGAAGGTATTTCAGAACTGTTTTGGTAATTGTTTGTTTTTAAAATATGGAAGGTGATTCCTTCCGGGAAATGCATTAATGCAGCTGTACAAAAAAAGTTTGTGAATGGTCTAGCATCCAGGCATATAATTAACTGTGACAATAAGGAAGTTATGGAAATCATTTCTCTGGGCAATTGTTGATTGCTTGGTTGTTCTTAAGGGTGTTTGGCTGGGTTTCAAAAACTGAAAAATGCAAAGTAAGTTTTGATTATCAGTTGTCTGTACTTACATACCACCTGTGACAGTTGGTCTATGTGTTTGAAAATGTATTTAGTCTTCAATAGAATTATAATGTGGATTTCGGTATTTGCTGTCTGTATGCATTATGCATTGCTGATCTGTTTGTTCTGTCTTGTTTATGTCTGCAGCACGTTTCGTCTGCGGTTTCACTGTTTAGTCATACTGTGTACTTCTATGATCTCATTGCATTTATATGTCATACATATTTGTGTATTTTTCTTTTTAAAATACGGTTCCATAAATCTTTCTGTGGAACATACTATTCGGAGACCTATATTTTCGAAAATTATTATTTTCCCCTACTGACTTCAAAAAAGCTGTAAGCTAGGTGTTGCAAAATTTATTAGGATATGAAATTCATACTTAAATATTGTAAAAAATATGTTTTATCTGCTGACACAAGAGAGAATGAAAAGACACAATCTATGATATGTGAAAGTTGCCAGGTAGCTCTTAGTGTGAAAACTCAGCTAAGGCTCCGTTTTATCTAGCCGGTTCTATTTTTGCCTCATATTACAGCTGTAGATCCATCACACATGGTGTTTCTCTGGTTTAGCCAAACAGGATATAAGATTAATGCAAACTATCCAAACTCGCACAAGACCAAGTTCATAATAAATAGAGGAATACTTTGCCATGATGTGGGCATCTTGACCTCTTTAGGTGCTATTGAGGATGATCCAGCACGACAGGCACTAGATTTTGCTTTTTCATCCTGCACCTGAGGAGTCCGACATTTATGGACAGATTTACAGGTTTACAGGTCAGAGCTCTGAAATTGTTACTGAGATCCCATTAACGGTCTGTGGTTCAGGTCCAGAAAGTAAATATGCAGACCAAGATTTTGAGTTGAGTACTCTGTGACTGTGACTCTTCATACTCAACTCATTGGTTGAAACCAAATCTTGGTCTGCATTTTTACTTTCTGTACCTGAACTATCTACCTCTGGCTATTATACAGTGTTCTTTCCTGGTGTTACATAGTGGCTCAAAGGTTTGTACCATGGCCTGCCTGGTTCAGTGTTGTGGGTCTGTTTCCCACCCCTTGTTCAGTGTGGATGGATTTTGAATGTTGTCCCTTTGTTAGATATTTTTGTTAAGCAATCAAATGCCTTACTGATAGGCACAGTTTATTTCGTGGAACCTTCTGAGACTGCAGCAAGGTACCTGGCGACTGAATGATGGTCTTTTCTGTGGATTAAGTTGCTGGTATTCATGATGGAGCCTGGTGTTTTGGTGGGGGATAGTTTTAGGAATTATTCTGTGCCTGACCAAATCTCAAGGTCGCCAACTCTCGCACATTTGTTGCTTTCAGACTTGCACGCTCTCGTAAGAAATCTTACGACAAATCTATATTATCACACAGTAAACTAAAAAGGGTCCACATGAAAAGCATTGGGATAGTTTGCAAACCCTACAGACTATTACATACATGTAAATGCTTGTGCATACGTGTGCAAACTTGTCT